CAGGCGTATGACTGAGCAATCTTGAAAGTAAATCCTTCAGCCCCGGTTGAATCATCCAACCTGATGGCACATAGAGCAGATTCCAGCTGTCCCCACTGAATCCTGCCAAAATTGCAGACTTGTGTGCAGAATAATTATGGCTAATTTAAGCAACAAAAGTTGTAGGTTGTTCATTATGCAGCAGTAAATAATGAGAACAGAATTTGGTATCTAATGGTAGGGTGTGGTTATAATCTACATTTAAAACATTTGGCATTAAACTTATAATTGGTTGAATACATAATCCATAAGGGCCTAAGGAGTCGCTTACTAAAAAGTGAAAGGATCATGAGGCAACTCTTGGTAAGGCATTGAAGCACAGAGAGAAAAATATTTGAAAGACAGAGAGGAAACTGTTATTAGAGTTAGGTAAAACATGAATACTTATTATCCATTGCTTGGAAGTTTGGCAGCATGACCACATGCTACAGCCTGGAAAATAGACTAGTTAGTAATCTCATTATCTTCCTGGAGAAATTTCTAGGAAGACTATAGAAAATTCCAACCAACAATAAAATATTAAAAGAGAGTAGAACACAGGATACTAGAGGAATGGAAGAGCAGAGCAAAGGGAAGGTTAGGCAGAGATTTGCTAAAGGATACAAAATTACAGCTAGATAAAGGAATAAGTTACAGTGTTCTATATCACTGTAGGGTGACTATAGTTAACAGCAATATAGAGATTCAAATTGCCAGAAGGAGGGTGTTGAACATTCCCAACATGAAAAAAATAATAAATGTTTGAGATTATGATATCCTAATTATCTTTGTCTAATCCCTGTACAAAATATTACTATTTACCTAATGAATATGTACCATTACTATTGGTCAACTAAAAAGTACATAATTTTTAAAAGTTTTTTAAGTTTCTAAGAATTTAGAGGAAACATAGAGATACAAATCTTGTTGAGTTTGCAGATAAAGATGTTTTTCCTGCACAGTCTCTCTAAACAAAGACAAGGTACAAAATGGCTTCAAGGAAGAAATCAAATCCAAGGTGCTATCAGGAAACTAATGTCTCACAGTAAACATCTTAAGAATGTAGCTGAAATACCTTTTGTTAGAACTCAGGAATATTTTGGGCTATATCTAACAAGAGTTATAAATATCCTAAGGGTATGAATCCTTAAAGTTTAACAATAAGCTGCCTTTTTTTTTTAGATTATTCCTTTTTTTTAAATTTTTTTTTAATTATTATACTTTAAGCTCTGGGGTACCTGTGCACATCCCGCAGGGTTGTTGCATGGGTACACACATGCCATGGTGGTTTGCTGTTTCTCTCCCTCCGTCACCTACATCAGGCATTTCTCCCTGCGTTTTCCCTCCCCATCATCCCCTCCCTGCACTGTCCCTTCCTTAGCACCCCTCCCTGCTACCTCCCCCAGTGTGTGATGTTCCACTCCCTGTGTCTAAGGTGGTTTTTTCCAATTCTTTTCTTTTTAAGAATCTTAAGGGAACTGCCATGTAGCAATTATTAATACTGTTACCTCACAAGTGACCCATAATAAAGAAATGAATATGGATGTGACTTTTTTATCTAATGGAATTAATTTATGAATTGAAACATAGGAAACCCACACAGTTTTAAAAAGGCATTCTATCAACATGTGCTAAAGATTACAGGGCCAAGACAAATGAATAGACCTTTGAACCCTCAACTTCTTACATGGAGGTATCAGACTGAGAAATGACATGTCTGTAAATTGTAGCTATGTCTTGTGGATAAAAAAGGATGATCAGAAAGTGGGAAAATGACATCACAAGTTATATACAAAAGTCATGGAATTCATTCCCAGGAAACAGGACTGGCAACATGTGTCCAGAGGAATTTGAGAATTTCTATGGACCAATGACTGTGATGTGTCTAATTTCCTCCTTTTTCAAAGGGAAATATCCATTGCTATTATCCTATGCCCATCACATCATTGTCTTTTTGGGTGTCGGAAGCAGACAACCAGCTGCTATTATGCCTTAAAAGACTAGCAGCTTCCTCTCTCTGTGTCTTGGAACATTTAGTCTTTGAAACCAGTCATGAGGTGATGAGACAGTTTATGGAACCCCATGGAAAGAGCCACATGGAGAGAAACTGACTCTTAACAACCTGTAGCCCTGACTCAGCTCCACCACAAACCAACACCATTTTGCCAGCCCTGTAAATGAGCCAAATGGAAGTGGGTCCTTCAATTCTCGTCAAGCAGCTCAGTTGACATTGTATGGAATTGAGACAAGCCAATCTTATAAGCCCTCTCCCATGTAGAGATTAATGAGCAAAATAAATTATCCTTGTTATATTTTATTACAGTTTTGGGGGACATAAATATTGCTACACTTTTACGTGTAGTTTCAGATGTTTTACTTAACTAGGCCAAGCAGTCATTTATTCAATTAAAGTTAAGAGACATGTATTAGTTATATCATGAATGTCAGGGATATAGAAGACATTTAGGAAGGGTTAATATACAGGTATAATAAATTACTTCCTTTCACATTGCTGATTGTCCAGCAGAGAGAATAACATATGTACATAATCAGCTCAACATATTAGAGCTCAGTAAGAAGTATAAGTAAAGCTTACATTGCTACGGTGTTTTGAAGAATGGAAATCAGGCAATACTTCATGAAATAGGGGAAAATAAAAAAATCTTTGATGGTGGACATTAGACAAAGAAGATGATAATCTTTTCAAATAAGAAATTCTTTGGTTCTTAGGCCGGCACAGGACCATTCTCCCTAAGGATCACACCTTATAAGCCCTAAGTAAAGGAATGCAATGCACAGTATGGCAAATTTAGGTTTCTCTTCCACTACCTTTTCATTTAATGATGGCCAACCAAGGCCATTTTGTCACTGTAAATTATTTTTTCTGTAGAAGTATTATTCTACTATTTATTATTGCAATCCCTTTTAAACATAATTTTAAGACTTTCATGTTTCTACTAATAAAAAAGGAATTCAAGAGACCTATATGCCAGGATAATGGAAAACTAGATCTGTAAAGTAAGATAGAAAAAAATTTTTGATCACACTTATATCAGCATGCTGTAGAAAATATTCTATACATTAGTATTGAACACAAAAATCAGCTCCTTTTTTTGAAAGTTGACCAAGTGTTTATTTCTGAAACTTCCTGCTTAGTTGTCATTCTTTTTCACAGTATAGAATTTGGTTTTCCTAATGTATACATAATCTATATTTAAAAACCTCAAATTCTAGATCACATAGTAGCTTCTAAATTTTTAGTGAATATGATATAAAATAGCACTACTTTAGTTAATTGAATATGCTGTCTTGACCAGGATAGCTTCACTGCTTACTTTGTTATAAAATTTCTAAAATTTGATATTAAAAGGGAAATTAAACCCATTAAAGAGATCTAAAAGATAGCAGCGGGATGTCTATTAGTTTATCCTGCCATTACAGTAAAATTATAAAACATGTAAACTCTGTGACATGAGGATATAAATAATCTTTCAATCAGGTTAAAAAAAAAAAGTTACAACAAATTGTTAAAAGTAAAAAAGAAAAGATAAAATGATGAAAGCAAATTTAAATGGATTATATGACTTTGGCCATGAACAAGGATTCCCATGAATTGGATTTAGAGATGGACTTTGTATACAATGTAAACTCCTTAGATTGTAAGTAAGTTTTTTTTCCTGTATTTCTGTATGAGGAGAGTTTCATGTATTAGATAAATAGCTTTCAACAGATTCTCAAAAAACCACGTGCTGCAAAGTGTGATCTAGAGTGATTAAGGTGATTATTTATGGCTATACTACTGGTCAGGCCAAATATTTGACTCTGTATACAGACACAGTAACTTTATGAACTCAATATTTACCAATAAACACCATCATAACATCTTATTCTATAGGAAAAACAGGCAGCAATGTCATAAAAGGAAGTTTTTCTTGGTTTTAGCTGAGGCACAAATGCTGAGAATAAAATCTGTGAACTACTCAAAAAATAAAAATTTTGAGAAAAAAGGGAAGGAAATATAATCTTTGAAGGAAGTGCTTGGATTTCTTAACGTTTTATCTCTCCTCAAGAGTAGAAAGCTGCTTCAAGATATTGATGTACATCTGCCGGAGATAAAGGAACACAGTGGATTGATATCTGAGCTCACCTGAGAAATCTGAATGTAGAAATCTGCAGTTAACGGCCTGAAATACCAGTACACAGAGAAAGGTGCCTGCACTTCAACTGACTATGGATACCAAGGATTGTCAAAATTTTCTTTTGGATCATATATTGACCATGTAGGAGACATAGTCATTGTGGAATTACTTAAAAATAACTTTTTGTCCAAGAAGATCTTTAGAAAACAGGTGACCCACGTAAGTGTTGAAATTTCAGAATTAAGAGGAAAATTCACAAGCTGTCAGCTAGAGGCAGATTCAACCATATCACAAGAAATGTGGTAGAAGTCCCCAGTATGAAATTATTTCAGCAGCTATGAAGGCTCCTTGCATGAGACTCAGTGTGCAGCATCTGAAAGCACTATTGCCAGAGCATGACAGTGGCAATCAAGTAAGAAGTTCCCTCCACTTATGCCTCTCTCCCGAGTGTAATGCTTGAGGGGTCAGTCATTGAAATAAGTAGAGACAAAAGTGTTTGCTGAGAGAGCTAATACATTAAGTCAACCTTCATTGGTCCTAATGCAGGCTTCCCAATTCAAAAGTCAACACCCAGAAAAGGCAGAAATTTTAGCTTTAAATTAATTTTAAATTTTCGGTTATCACAGTGGACTGGGCATTTAAATTTGAAGAGCTTTCTGAGATTCCATGTGTGAAAATGAAAAAGATTAGCCTGTGGATTGGATTTTAAGAGACTATAAGGAGAATAACATATTTTATGACATGCATCTTAAAGACCCCTATTATTTCAATGAATTTGTTACCATTAAAATATGCATGTGATAAAAAGGCATTATTTGTTGAGAAATCTAAAACATGATAATATTTCAATTTTATAGTTTAAGAGAACCTTTCTTGCCTAACACTTTTCTGATAGCAAGTTGGACATCCTTGTTTCTGAGGCTATAGACCATGGGGTTTAGTAACGGAGTGACAATAGTGTATGTCACTGTCACCAGCCTGTCTTTGTTGGACACATAGTTTGCTGTAGGCCTCAAGTAGATGAAGGAAGCACAGCCATAATGAACAATAACAACAGTGAGGTGAGCGGCGCAGGTGGAAAACGCTTTCCGTCTGCCCTCAGCTGAGGGAATTTTCAGGATAGTCCTCAGAATGCAGATATAAGAAACACAGATAAACAGAAAGGGAACCACAAGTGCAAGAACCCCACAAATGAATATCACAAATTCATTAACATCTGTGTTGGTACAAGCCAGACGAATGACTGGTGAGATGTCACAGAAGTAATGATTGACCTTGTTGGCGCCACAGAAAGGGAGGCTGAAAACTAAATTTACCACTGTAAGGGAGGCCAAGAAGCCTCCAATTGCACAGGCAGCTGCCAGTTTTCCACACACCTGCCAGCCCATAAGAATGGGGTAATGCAGAGGGTGACAAATGGCAGCATAGCGATCATAACCCATCACACCCAATAGCAGGCAGTTGGTAATGGCAAAACCAAGGAAGAAGAACATTTGAAGGGCACAACAGGTAAAGGAGATTGTCCTGGCCACAGAAAGTAGATTGATGAGCATCTTGGGTAGAATGACAAAGGTGTAGAAGGTCTCAGACGTTGAGAGAATGCCAAGGAAGAAGTACATTGGTGTGTGTAGGCTTTTATCCAGGTGGATGACACTGATAATGGTGATATTGCCACTAAGAATGACCAGATACAGAAAAAGAAAAGCCACAAAGAGGGCCAGCTGAATTTCACCAAGGCTGGAAAAACCCAGCAACAGGAATTCAGTGACCGTGGTGAGGTTTTCTGTCAGTATCTGCAAAGAGGGAAAGAAGTAAAACATATTCAGGTATATGAATATAAGAAATTGGGTCATGCAGTCCTGTGTTCCTTTCTGGACCGGACAAAGAAGAATCTTGCCTTTTACTCACCTCTTCCAGTTCCTAGCTACCTCTCACGTTCATTGTTTCATGGTCCCCTTCTTCCATCTTCAAAGTCAACAAAGTTACATCTCCTTCTCTGACTTTCTGATTTTATCTCCCAATTTTAAGAATGCTTATGATTACTTTGGGCCCACCAGAATAATACAGGATAATATCTCTATGGTCAGTTGACTTTCCTTCTTCACCCTCTATTCCTCTTGTTTGTATGATCTAACATATTCTCAGGTTCCAGTGATTAAGACGTATCCATCTTTGGAGGCTCATTATTTGTCCTACTACCACAAGCAACAAACACTCTAAAAATGATATTAAGAAAACAATTCAATTCACAATGTAGTAATAATAATAATAATAAAAGCTTAGTGTTAGATTTAACCAAAAAAGTGGAAGACACATACACAGAAAACTTTCAAACATTGTTGGGATAAATTATAAAACATATGAGTAAATGAAGAATACCCACGTTTATGAGTGTAAAGACTTAATAAAATATAGAGCAATTCTGGCCAAATTGGCCTATGTAGTCAACATAATTCTTAACAAATCTCAGCAGGCTTTTCTTCTAAAGGTTGATAAGATGATTATAAAATTTATATAAAAAGGAATCAGAATTGCCCAAATGTGTCTAGTTTAATCACTAAAGAGAGGCCTTTGAAGCATTGTGATCCATTTAACAGTCACCATTTTTGTCCTATTCTAGGGTCTTTAAGTGTTTCTGGAACACATCACAGCTCTTCCAAGATTGTTGGTAAAAATAATTGTAAGTTAATTATTTGCATTCTCAGGCTGATAACTTAAATCCCAGTTATATTTGTAACCATAATTAAAATAACCACAAACACATTTTACAAAAGAATATATTATATACCTGAACAGAAGGTTGGGTTCAATATAGACGGATTGAATTAGGTTAATATCACCTATTCCTCACTTTGAACAATAATATAGACATTCAAGAAAAATGAACAAACAGATTTTGACTAATTGTCTGTATTTATATGCAGAATAAATGTTTTCTGAAGTGACCAGAATTATCCTTATCACCTTCCTTTTTTCTTTACCCATCATCACCTTTATCTATAGACACACGTGAAGTCCAGCATGTCTTAAATAAACATGGTCTGTTGTAGAGTCATTGAATTCTGATATATATACTGCTTTTAGAGAAAACTTTGTGTATGGTTCATGAAAAAATGAAAATTAAGATTTGAAACTTACAATAGATTTTTTTTTGTAGTAAAAAGTCAAAGCAACATAGTATACTTTTGATTTTCTAGTAACAATTAAAACAGTTTAAAAGAAGATAAGAATACTTTTTAGTCAGGTAGAATCTCCTTAAATAAAATTAGCTTATATGAAATGTATTCTAATTACTGCACCTAAACCTCCCCTCAGGTTCTAACAAGTAGAAATAAGAATCTCTTCACTCTCAATAGTTTCTTTTGCTGTGCAGAAGCTCTTTAGTTTAATTAGCTCCCACTTATGAATTTTGGTTTTTGCTGTGATTGCTTTTAGGGACTTAACCAAAAAATTATTTGCCAAAGCTGATATTGAGAATAGTGTTTCCCAGGTTTTCACCTAGGATTTTTAGAGTTTGAGAGTTTATATTTAAATTTTTAATCCACTTTGAGTTAATTTTTGTATATGGTGAAAGGTGAGGATCCAGTTTTCCTCTTCTGCGGATGGCTAGCCAGTGATCCCCACGCCATTTACTCAATAGGAAGTGTTTTTTCTATTGTTTGTTTTTGTCAGCCTTGTTGAAGACCACATGGTTGTAAGTGTGCAGCTTTCTTTCTGAGCTTTTTTTTAAAAAAATTATATTCCCTTGGTCTATATTCCTGTTTATGTACCAGAACCCTGCTGTTTTAGTTGCTGTAACATCATAGTATGATTTGAAGTTGGTTACTATGATGCCTCTCTGGCTTTGTTCTTTTTGTTTAGGGTTACTTGGGTTATTTGAGCCTTTTTTTCGTTTCATATGAATTTTGTGATAGTTTTGCTAATTCTGATAATATTACGTTGGTAGTTTGATAGAAATAGCATTGAATCTGTAAATTGCTTTAGACAGTATGGCCATTTTAACAATATTGATTATTTCAGTTCATGAGCATGGAATGCTTTTCCATTTATTTGTGTGATCTGATTTCTTTGAGCAGTGTTTTGTAGTTCACCTCGCAGAGACTTTTCACCTCTTTTATTAGGTGTATTTCTAGATATTCCATTTTCTTTGTGGTTATTGAAATGTAATTTTGTTCTGGATTTGACTCTCAGCCTGGACATTATTGATGTTTAGAAGTACCACTGATTTTTTAAGATTGATTTTGTATCTTAAAATTTAACTAACGTCATTTATCAGTTCTAGGAGCCTTTTGGCAAAGTCTTTAAAATTTTCTAGATATGGAATAATATCAACAATGAAGACAAAGAGTTTGGTATTTTTTTTTCCTATTTGGATTTCTTTTATTTCTTTCTTTTTCCTTGAATAGGAGTGGTAAGAATGGGTATCCTTGTGTCGTTTCTGTTCTCAAGAACAGTTCCAGCTTTTGCTTGTTCAATATGATGTTGGCTGTGGATTTGTCATATATGACTCTTATTATTTTGAGATATGTTCCTTCAAAGCCTAGTCTGTTGAGGGTTTTTATCATGAGGGGATGTTAGATGTTATTGAAAGATTTTCTGCATCTACTGAAATGATCATATAAATTTTATTTCTAATTATGTTATGAATTACATTTATTGATTTTCATATATTGAACTAAACAACCTACAGAATGAGAGAAAATATTCACAAACTATGCACCAAATGCCTAATATTCAGAATTTACAAGAAACTTAAACAAATGAAGCAAAAACCAATAAACCCCATTTTAAAATGTGCAAAGGATGTGAACAGACACTTCTCAAAATAAGACATACAAGCAGCCGAGAAACTTATGAAAAATGATCATCATCACCAATCATCAGAGAAATGCAAATGAAACCACGAAATACTATTTCACATCAGTCAGAATGCTATGAAATAAAAGACTTGCATCTATACATTGAAATGATTCATCACCCTTTCATCTTATTTATATTCATGACTATCCAAGTGCTCATAAACATTCATCAAAAACAGTAAAAACTAAAATGTGTCCTACACGTTTGTCTTATAAATTTGAAGAAGCATTAATTAAAACATTAATTTTTTAAGTTTAATTGTTTTAAATTTTTAATTTAATTTTTAAAATATATAGAAAACCTATCTGTATGTTTGAGTAAAACCACTGATCAAGTAACAATAAAAATAAAATCATATGGAAATCATATTTTTGAAAGCTCTCTCATATGAATATTTGAAAATACCATTAAGTGTTGGGTCAAAGGGAAAATACAATGTAAAATAAAATAAGTTCTAGAAAATAATGTCAGGTATATATATTAGACTATATGGACTAAATTTAAAGCAGTTATCAGAAGAAAATTTATACCTTAATTGTTTACCTAAACAAAAATTTAATTATTTTTAAAGTATAAATCATCTGAATGCCATCTAAACTGTTTCTGACATGTAATAGTAACTTAATAAATACATCTTTAATACATTTTAAATATCAGTTTAAACTTTCAATGCATATGTTCAAAATTTGTTTTATATGTTAATAAAATACAAAAAATTATAAAGGATTAGAAAACATTTTATTATTGGATAGAAAATTTGAAAAGCTAAACTTAATAATGAAATATTATTGAGGAATAGTAAGCAACAATTTGTATAAAATAAAATATTTATTGACAACAAAGGCACAGCTAGAAATATTAGAAAGCAAACAACAAATGGAAAACTACCAAAAATATTCTTCAAATGTTAATGTTAATGAAAAATTTATTACAAACCGATAGAGAAAATAACAAACTTTGAAGAAGAAAACAGATATAAGCATACAGTTTATAAAATAGAAATAGAATGCATCAAACATATAAAAATTTATTTCACTTTGAAATATACTTCAAGTCAAAAATAAATGCAGATATTATTTACACTCATCAAATTAGCTGTGGTAATTTTATATGACTAGTACCAAAAGATTTACTAACAGGATTATAATTTGGTTTTATTTATGCAAAGAAATTTAGCAAAATATATCAATATCCTTGAATATATTTATCTAATTTATTCCAATATTCTATTTCTTAAAAGTTGTCCTTACATATTTGTATGTAAAAATGTATTTATAAGGAAAAATTGAAAAATCATAACACAAATTAATAGTACTTGGTTTAAGAAAGGCAATATTATTGTGTATTGAATGACAGTATGGAAACTAGAAGAAGGTAGCTTGGCTTTACCAAGTTGAAGGAAGAAATTAGAGGAAATAAATTTTTTCAAAGTTGGAAACTGTAGGGTTTTGTTTTCTTTCATTTTGTTTTTCACTTTTACCTTCATTCCTGTTGACTTGGGAAGGGCAACTGGAGGAGACTATTTTCCAGAGTGATTTGGGCAGCAGAGATAGAGGGGCCTGAGAATGAAAGGCATGGCATTGCAAACACAGAGAACAGCTGGGAGAAGGTGGGAGAAGATAGGAGATTAAATGGTAAGGTGTGTGTTGAAACAGTTCAACTAAGAAGTGTCAATCACAGAGACATTTAAATTTACATTTAACCAAGTACCTTCTTACTCATAACTGTATAGTAATCCCCACAAACATTGTAGAATTCCAATTTTCTTAAAAGGGAGGGAAAAAAAGCAAGCAAGTGGGAGGGAGGGAACGAAGAGAGAGAGAGGGGGAGGGAAAGGAAGGGAAAGGAAGGGAAAAGGAAGGAAAGAAAAGGAAAAAGGCTGTTGATAATTTGATCTCTTACAACACTGCAAATGTTTCCTTCAGCTCCCAGATTTTACCCAATGTTTTAATAATATGGAATGTCATAGTTCATTGAACATGCAAAGAGCCATGTTGTATAACAACAATACCTTTTCTTGTGTTAGGGCAGATCCTCTAATCTTTCAAATCATTTCCCTGTAAGTCAGGTTTCCAAGCACTCTTGCAATTTAACAACTATTTATTGTATACATTACTAAATCTGAGACACCTTTTTTGGTGTTTGGGATACAACAATGAACAAAGCAAAGATCTTTGCCCTTGTGAAACATACATTCTAGGACTTATTACATTTTAGATCATTCTATACAATGATCTTTCTTATCTAGTACAATTTAAGCTCTTAGAAGGCAAAGG